AAAAACGTATGGCAAAAAGTACATCTAACAGTGATTGAGACTCGCAGAACTCCTAAAAAAAGTATTTAAAAAAATTAAATATCTTACTAGGTCTTATCCAACTAAGTTATTGTTTGAATACATTATTATTAATATTAATAAAATAATATTCAATATTGAAAATTTATTGTAATATTAATATACAATCTTATATAATCAGAATTTTGAACTTAGTAACATAATAAAAATAAGTAACAATAGTAATAATACAAGCTTAAATAGGAATCATTATGGTATTGTAACGATAATAAAATTAGTAATACTATTTAATAATAAAACATTCAATAATGAAAATTATTGTAACAGATATTTATATAGAATCTTATATAATCAGAATGTTGTCTTAAGATGCACAAACAATTATTTATAATAAAAACAGTAACATAATAATAAAAATAACTAATAATAATAATAAAAGCTTTAATTGAGAATCATGATGGTAATGACAAAAAAAATAATAATATTTATTTATATGTACAGTAGTAGCTCTGCGAATACTTTCTTTAATTGACACTGAATCAACTGAAACATAAACAGAAGCAGAAAATTGTACTAAATTTCAAACATAAACAAAGACTTTGTGATTACTGTACCTTGCGGGTATTGATAATTTCTTTTTCTTCATTTTTATTGGTTTCGCTGTTTCATTTCCTTCGTCATTATCTTTAGCAGTCTCATTGTCTTCTCGTTCACACTGATTATTGGCACTGTATGGCTGGGTGGCTTGATGGCTAGCGACTATCTCATCACTTATATTCCTGTGCTCGGTACGGCTTTCACTTCTGCATTCACTATTTTCAAGTTGAGTTTGTTTGACTGAATCAACCTTTCGTTTTTTGCTGCTCTTCTCTGCGGGTAGATATTCACATGATTCTGAACTCGGTTCTTCTTCGCGTTCACGTTTTTGTCTTTTCGTTTCACAATCCTTAGTGGCTAACATATCTTTCCTTTCTACATTGTGAAAATGATTAGTTTCAACAGGATCTGAGGTAGTTAATTTGTTTTCTGTGGATAATTTTAAGGTAGGAATTTTTTCATTATCATTTGAACTAGTTTTTGACAATGATAAACGTTGACCAGTAGAATTGTCTTTTTTGTACTCCGACATCCTGAATTCATCGTCCGGATCAAAATCGTCCATTCCCCCACGAGCAGCATTTGTATTTTTTTCACTTGCTGTTAACAAGTTTGTCTGACATCGCTTCAACCAACCATTATCTAGAGATGGTCTGGGTTTCTTCATCGCTAAGATATTCGTTGTTACTGTAGAAACAGATGTGTTTTTAAACTTGTCGTATTTCGTAACAAATTTACAGGACGGCAGGTTAATTTGCACGGAGTCTGTGTCGTCAAATTCAGTTGGCTCTTGTGATGCAGAAATGTTCGCTGCTTTTAGTTTACTTGAATTTGTTCTTTTACGAGCTGAATTAGGAAGTATCTGAACAAAATTAGATCATTATTAATTACTGTATAATTGTCATCATATCAAAAGTACTTATTATTATTATTATACCTTAGTTCCCCTTCCCAAAAATTGAATACAAACCTAGGCTGAATTATTGTTGGGGGGGTGGTATGATTATACCCCGGGAATCCCCTTTTCAACCAAAAGGCAATTTTTTTAGCACTAAATTCCTAATTTAAAGCCAATATTTGATTTTATCTTGTTACAGTCTCAGCAAAGCTTTTTCAATCAAATCCTACCCTGGGCTTTTGCTTGAGGAAAGGCTGGTACGTAAAATTGGGCGTAAAGTAAGGGGGTGGGCTTATACCCGAGATGGACTTATACCTGAGATGGGCTTACTGCATACCCGGGAAAATATATTATTACTAGAGAGCTTTCGATTGCACGACGACAGTAAGACGTATGACGTCACCAAGTCTTCTGTGCATGCCAGAACGTTAAGTTCTCGTCGCATGGATTCTAACAGATGCAGAAAACATAGGACGCCCGGTAGGGCGGTCACCCATTAGTGATTCCGTTCTAGTGTCGCGTCGTCAAGCAAATCGAAAGCTCCCAACTGACACATAAATCATACGAACATGCTTCGTCTTTCGACAAGTGAATTAATATGTAGCAGCCAATAAAGGTATAATTATGATGCCGAAAGCAACTGAAAAAAACAATTCTGAAAAGTAACATTTAATACATCACTTGGTGTTTAATACCCAAAAATAGAAATAGAATAGTAGGTATTATCTTAAAATGCAGTAACTTACTTTAACTCGGTTAAATTCCCTGAGTTTCAATCCATACACTGGTTCTCTACTATTGGGTGATATTTTCTTATCTTCATCTGGTTCTTTTTTCTGTTTTTTTTCTTTTACATTCAAATGAGATCCCCAAATATTTCCTGTTCCAATTCTATCATTGCTGGTACTATGGTTTTTTTCACCATGAGTTCTATTATTTATAACCGCACTATTAGTCTTTTCTTTATGGGGAGTCCTGTCATCATTTACATTTTCGCTGATTGATCTTCCAAGTTGACGGTATTCTTTGTAGTAGCCTATTAAAAAACATTTATCCAATTAAATCAAATCATCATCATCGTTAAACCCGTATCCCCCCAGTTTTTAAATATTCAATATTCTTTATCCCTTTTTGTGTCTTACAAAAATTGGCTGTACTTCCTCTCTTTTTTAAAATCATATTTTCCCAATAAAATAAACAGTTTTAAAAAATTCTACACTACAAAATTGTTCTCACTCACCAGAGCGCTTTCGCATACCCAACCGGTGTCTTCAGTGGTTTTAGTGACTGGATCAAAATCCAATCCCTTATCTCGGTTTAGTCTCGGGTTAAAAGTTCTAATGTGGATTGCCTCCAGGTTTCTGCGTGGAAAATCTGGAACAATCTTTTAGCCACCAACAAGACCAAGGGGCTGAGGGTAATATCATCCTTGACGTCATCGACATCGATGACGTCTGATGAGATTCCTCACTAGATGAACACAGTAACTAAAACCACTGAAGACGCCGGTTGGTTAGGCGAAAGCGCTCTGGTGAGTGGGAAAAATTTTGTTGTGTAGAAGTTTTTAAAACTGTTTATTCTATTCAGAAACCACAACGTATGAATCTTCATACATATATTTCCCATTTTTTTCTAAGTAAAAGATACTTTCTTTTCACAAAAAATATTTATTCAATAAAGTCAATCCAAAGAAAGGAATATTTCAAATAGATGTAAAAATAAGAACACATTATAAAATCACATATAGTAAATTTTTACCTAGTATATGAAATTTATGTTTTGTAAGATATTTGAAAGATTCCTTACCCTGGTCAACATCAGGGTAATAATTACTTGGCTTTTATTTTTAAACAATTAAACAATACCCCAATGTAATATTTTTTTTTAAAATAGTATATGCATTCCATTCTATCAAAGTTTATTTGTCAAAAACATGGGGCATGACTAAAAATCACATCATGACCATATAAGGCACATCAGGACTATATGGGCAAACAACAGCTTTTGTCAACAAAAAATTGATAATCATGACAAAGCTTAAAGGGGAATCAGATCAATTGGATTCAAACCTTTGATTCTGTCTGAAGCTTTTTCTATATCTTCTTTGTTAGGACGCCTTTCATGAAGCACGGCAAATGCGGTTTCCCACTCTTTCAATGCTTTCTTCAGAACAGCCCGTCTTTCCTCAACACCCATTTTCAATCAACAAAACACTAGGCCTACTTAATAACAAAAAAACTAAATAATTAGATAAGTCATATCTGTTTAATTCATACCTATTTATTCAGTATGAGTATACAATTGTACTATGGTCCTACTTACTAAATAACATACAAGAAACGAACGTAATCCAAAGTTTAACGGATTAAAGTTCTCACTGGCAACTGATATAGGTAAGCGTAGTGTTCGCCATTGATAATAAGACAAATAAAACACGTTCAATTTCCTGATTTTTATGGGTATACTGTAAATGCATCATGGCCAAACTGGTTTGCAGCTGAAACGGATGACACCCTGGCATTTTTTAGTAAGACCCATGTAGTAGTGACACTGTTACTGAGGCAGGCATGCCTCAGTAAGGGAGAAGCCCAAACATGGGTATTTTATTAAAGAGGGTGACTCATTTACAGCAGAGCTGATCTTAAATTCTGGGGCACTCACCATCACGCAAACGATATTCAATAATTCAGCTCAGGTTCTCTAGTTAATATGCCTTTTTCACGAATCGGTAGACATCTTGAAGTGATGACAAACATTGCGAATCAGCGGTGCGTAACCAACAGAAATAAGATAAGCTTTTGGGCGGATTTTCTGACATCATGTTATTTAAAAAATCATAACTCCATAACGGGGCGTCGTATCCAAAAAGTGTTTCCAGGAAAATGTTCTTAAAAGACCAGTCTACATAACTATGGAGTTATGATTTTTTAAATAACATGATGTCAAAAAATC